CTATGTAATATCTTTGGTAACTAGGTAACTGTATTTGGTAACTGTATCGTTGCCCTCAATTCTGTTATTTCAGGTACACAGAATATTTTTTCTTCCACGTTTACTAAAGTGGGCTGTAGTATTTTCTGTATAATTGAACTTTTAGGATACCACAACACATCTTTAATTTCAGGCCACTTCCAATCTGCTCCAACCATGACCATGTCGCGGTCGTTATCGCAACGACCGCGGCGTCTCTATCGACGTCCGCGAGATCGCGACCGACAACCGGTCTGGCCGCCACCCGCGGCACGGCCAGCGGCGAAGGCGACGGATCAACTCTCGCCGGACCGTTGTCAACGCCGCACGCATATTAATTAATAATATTATAATAATATTACCTGTGCAATATACGTCTTAATTTACCTACTTAACGTGTTCGTTGTCGTTTGTCATCTCAAACCGTTCCAATACCTACATTGGCGCAGTCGGAAAAGGAGTAAGGTAAGTGCTAATTTTAATAAAAAATAATTGTACGTAAATTAAAGTAAATTAGCACATATCGGGTTAAAATAACCTACAATAGGTGTCCTGATCATACCGGTTCCTAATATTTTTTTTTTATTCCGATTTTTTATTTTAAATAAAATATTAAGGGCTTGTCCAATCTAAGGTGGTAAATTGTAGCAAAATTTGCATAATTTAGCGTAATTCCTACAGTGCTAAACTTGGTTTAGGCTATTTATAGATTGGAAAGTACATATCTCTACCAGCGATAGCCCGAGTTACGTAATCTCATATCTAACGTACTTTAATTAGGTAGATAATAGCAGTTAAATTTAATAATCACAATGAGTACGAAATACATTAGTGAATTAACTATTGCTGAAATTAACAGGGAATTATCGAAACGTGGTATTGAGACCGGGGGGTCCAAGGCCGATAAACTCTTAGCATTAGAAGAGTATATTAGGGCTAAGGAAAATTTGGATCCAGGATCAGTACGGTTTGGGGAAACTGACGATACGTCAGCCCAGGTACCGGAAGCGAAAACATCGGTGGCTCAAACTGGGGAGGAGGAGGTCGACTCTGAAAAGAGTTTGATAAACCAGTTCATGGAGCAGATGTTAGATAGGGTGGAGGGGTTGGAAACAACGGTCGACAAGCAGCAACTGACAATCGCTACTCTCAGCGAGAGCGTGGAACGCTTGGAGCGGGAGTTAACCTAAGAAAGTCAACCGAACGGGTGGAGCAAGCAAGTTGCTCATGCCGTGGAAATTAACAACAACCATCAACCAGCGATATATCCGGAGCAAATCAGAGTTGCCCGGACCAAAGTGAAAATCGTCCGGTCAAAACTCAAAGTGTGAGTTTTGAGAGCCGATGGGCGAACATACGGAGCAGATTGACCGGGGAAAAAACGAGAAATCGGAGTGTTTCCGGAGGTTCCGGTAACCAGTCCGGAGTGTCCGGTGAAACGTCCGGAGTCTTCGGTGATCTGTCCGGAGTGTTCGGTGAAGTGTCCGGTAGAAGTCGTGAGGAAGCGTTACGGAGTAGTTTTTCCGGTGTAAAACGCGTGCATTTCCCGGATAGCCTGTTCATCCTCAAAATGAGTTGAATATGGCCGTGCATCGATACCAGAGTTTACCGGTAAGAGGGAGGAAGACCCAGTGCGGTTTTTGCTCCAGGCCGAGGCAATACTTGAAGAAACTGGTATCCACAAGGCTAGATGGGTGACCGTTTTAGCTCCTCAGCTGAAGGCACTGGCATGAACATGGTGGGGAACCATTAGAGCGTTGGACTTACCATGGCAAGAGTTCAGGTCCGAACTATTGGAGAAGTTCAACGGGGACGAGTTGCAGTCGAGTCTGCAATCAGAATTGTTGAGCGGTGCTCAGACCAAGACCGAAACACTGGGGGAGTACGTCCTTCACAAGTACCAGTTGTATCGGAGGTTAAACCTTGGCCTGACAGAAGAGGCGGTGGTAATGACAGTGATTGGACTCATGCGTGATGAATTTAGAATTCATGCACGTATACAGCGACTGAAATCGTTCAGCGAATTACGAGCGCTTGCCCATGTTATGGATGGTAGCAAGGCCGCGTAATTACGGATAAGGCGGGAGTGAGCACCAGCGTACCACCAAAGTTAAAATGGTTGGATAAACGTAAAGCTGAGAGTGCAAAGAAATCCCAAGTGCCGAATCCGAAGCAACGACTATCTTCGGGAGCAGGATGCAGAGTATGTGGTAGTCATGACCACTGGCAAGCTGCATGTCCGAAAAGAAAGTCGGAGTCGGGAAACGCCAAAACGACCGGCGGAACCGCCGGGTCCCGACCGGCCAGGAAGTAACCGGCGAAAAAGTCACGAGTCGTCCGAAGAGTGGTAAGCAACGAATTTCAACTCGGGCAGTGAGTAACGTTCCGGTACAGGAACCACAAATTACAAGAACTGACCCGAATAAACGGAACTTCGGAGCGTTACGGACCGGAGACTCGGGAAAGGGCCCGAGGAAATCGGACCAAAAGAGTTCTGTACCGGTGAAATCTGGTAAGAACGTAATTCCTCCGGAGAAATACTTTGGTCACCCGAAGGAAACCTCCGGAGTGGGGAGTTGTCCGGTGAAAACCGTCGAGAATCCGGAGAGACGCCGGAGAAATCGCCGAAGCCACCCGAGAAAACCCATTGAAAACGACGTTCCGGTAAAGGAACCACAGTTCGTGACAATGGACCGGGTAAATGGTTAGGTTAATGGTAAATGGTTCAGTGATGGAAACGGGTTCCGACCAGCTGGACATCAGGTCGGGAAAATCGTTTAGGATCGAAAGTGTTCCGGACAAAAGTGAAAATCTCACCGAGGTGAGGGTTCTTTCCAATAAAAATGTCGCGGACAGCATTTCAAGTGATGCGGAACAAGATGAGTTAACACAGGAGTTGTTAATTTGTCCGGTCACATCCGAAGATTTTTCCGAGGAGTTTATTCATTATCCACGGGAAAAGTGCAAGAGGAGAAACTCAGATACGGACTCAATGTTCGAGTTGAGAGAACGCTTTTCGGATCTACGGACCGGAGTATTAGAGTCTCCAGCCATTGCAACGGTGTCAACGGGGAAAACTACAGTAACGGATGTTCCGTTACCGGCCATAGAACTAGAGTTTGCACTCGGGGCAGTAGTAGCGCTACTGGACTCCCAAGCGGCGAGGACATACGTCAAACCGTGGGTGGCAAGGAAGTTTGGCCGGAGTTTTACCGAAGAACCGGAGATTGTCCGGATGGCGGACAATCGGACCCGAGAAATTACGGAGTTTTCCGAATTCGGGCCCGGATAGTGGATCTGGAGGTAAGCTTCAGGGCAGCAGTGTTAGACGATCTCATTGGAGATGTCTTCCTGGGCCATAATTTCCTCGTGGAGCAACAAGTCGCTTGGGACTATAGCGGTTGCATAATCCACATGGGGAAAGAAAGATGTGTTTCCGTGAGTTGGAGAAATCCAGTAACTCCGGTCACCGCAGGATTACCCGAAGGAGAGTACTTTATGCGGGTCAAAGAAGTCCTTTGCCAATATCCGGAGGTTTTTTTCCGAAGAGGTAGGCAGAACTCGGGTGATATATCACCAGATCGGTCTCAAGGATCCAAATCCGGTGGCTCTAAACGCTTACGGGTACTCCCGAGAGAAAAACGAGGTTATTGCCGAAATGGTGCGAGGCATGGAGGAACAGGGTTTTGTTGAAAGTAGCATATCTCCATGGGCTGCACCGGTGGTACTCGTGAAGAAAAATTATGGCTCACGAAGGTTTTGCGTGGACTATCGGCGTTTGAACATGCAGACGGAGTCAGATGCTCACCCGATGCCGGACCTTATGACATGGTCCGAGGAATGGGTGGAGCAAAGATTTACAGCACCATGGATTTGAAATCAGGATATTGGCATGTGGGTCTCTCACCAGACTCGTCCACTCATGGCGTACAGGACCCAAAGAGGATTATTCCAGTTCAGAATAATGCCTTTTGGACTTTAAAACACCCCCGCCACATTCTGTCCCTTGGTAAGCGAAGTCTTCCGTGGGTTAGTTGGTAAATTTGTGTTGGTTTATTTGGATGATATTGTGTTATACTCGGAGAGTCCCGATCATCATCTAAACCACTTGCAGAGAGTCTTGGAGCGACTCCAGTCTCAGACCGTAAGCCTGGCTCGTGCCAACCAAAAAAATGTACATTCGGGGTGGCACAGATCAAATTCTTCGGTCACGTCGTGGACGGTGAAGGAAAAGACCGGGAACCGGAGAAACTGACGGCGATTCAGGAAGTACCGGTTCCAAAGAAGACAAAAGACGTGTTACGGGTGTTAGGTGTTTGTGGTTGGTACAGTCAGTTTGTGCCACACTACGCCGAGATCACAGCACCACTCACGAGTCTGTTGGCAAAAGGGACCAAATGGCATTGGTCAGAAATTGAGCAAGAGGCGTTCCGGAAGTTGAAGGAGTCTTTGGTGTCCGCACCACGGCTCTGCCCTCCTCTTCCGGTAAGCCATTCAATCTACAGACCGACGCAAGCGAAGTCGGAGTTGGTGCCGTGCTCTTCCAGCAGGGGGAGAGTGGTGACAGGAAAATCATTTCCTACGCCATCAAGAAACTCAATCCAGCACAGGGAAGATACTCGGCAGTCGAACGTGAATGTCTAGCCATAGTTTGGGCGGTTGACAGGTTCAGGCCGTATCTTGAGTCTGGTAAGTTTATGTTATTCACAGATAACGCGGCACTCCGATGGTTACAGCAAGCTCGCTGTACCAACAGCAAACTAACGTGATGGGCGCTACAACTCGGGGCTTTCGATTTTGAAATCCGGCACGTACCCGGAGTAGAAAACGAAGTAGCCGACGCGCTATCCCGTTGTCCGGTGGGACCGAATACAGTGGACGAAGAATCGTTGGAGAACAATATCCACGATCCCCCAGTGATTCGGCCCGGAGTGTCCGGAAGAACTTCCGGAGTCTTCGGTGATCTGTCCGGCGTGTCCGGATTATTCGGTGTGGGTGTCACCCAGTGTGGAGGGATCCAGCCGAAGAGGAATGACGGAAACGTCACATTGCAAGCTGTCCGAGAGTGGCAACAAAACGACCCAAACATAAGGGAGATAGTTGCTAAACTCTCCGAAGATGGTGCAAGGTTCGGTCGGCTTCGGAAGTTGTACGTCATCCGGGACAAGTTGTTGCACCGCCACCCTCGATCCATCGCGCATGGAGAAGAGGGGGTGGTCGTCCCGGTAAACAAGGCCCAGATTCTGCTACAAAGGTTTCACGACCACGAAGCAGCGAATCACCCAGGGTGGAAAGAAACGTACCGAAGTATAAAGAGTCGTTTCCTTTGTTCCATTATGGGTGAAGCAGTGAGTTACTACGTGCGGTCGTGCGACGTCTGTGCACGTGTAAAACCACTGAATCGCAAACCAGAAGATCGGATATGTACCAGAGTCCCACGGCAACCTTGGGAGGTGCTGAGCATCGATCTTATGGGTCCACACCCACGAACGCAGCGGGGTAAGACAACGATTTTTGTAGTAACTGATTGTTGCAGTCGCTGGCGGGTAGAGGCGTACCCCCTAGGAAAGGCGACGTCCAAATCGATTGTGGATACATTCGAACGGGTTCGAGTACCCGAGGGCATTATTGTCAGATAATGGCCCTCAGTTCGTGTCCAAGGCAATGGGAGACGCACTAAAGAGGTGGGGAGTGGAAGGATGGACGACTCCAATATACCACCCACGTGCCAACCCGGTAAAAAGGCAAAATCAAGAGCTGAAGAAAGGGTTCCGAACCTTACTTGTTGATAAGCCTCATCATCTGTGGGATGTCTACCTGCCACACGTGTTGTTCTCCGTAAGAAGCAGAGAAAACCGAAACACCGGACAGTCACCAGCCAAAATGATGTTTGGCCGGGAGATCAAGGCCCCCGGGGATTGGCAGCTCGAGTTGGCCGAAGGATCTCCGGACGCGGGCAAAGAGTTGTCCGAAGCAGTGCGGAACCCTCCGGTAGAAATCGAAGATTCTCCGGTGGAACCGGATGATTCTGCTGTGGTAGAGGGGGTAACCCGGTGGTCACCGGCCCCAAAGCCCCCAGTACACATATACCCCTAGAATCCCCGGGAAGAAGCAATCTGTCAGTAGGGGATTGGGTATACTACAAATCGCATCCGCAGTCAAGTGCGGAGAAACGTTTTCATGCGGGGTTCGCCCCGAAATGGTTATGTCCGGTTAAGTTGGGTAAACCACTAGGAACCGGAGTGTTCTTGACGGAGGGTAAACACCCTACTAAGTTACATGTCTCAGCGATGAAGCGAGCTGTAGGACCGTCAGAGAACACTAACTAATCATACTTTGTTTCAGATGGCAGAACGACCAAACCGCAACCACCGGCCATCCCGCGGCATGATTGCCACGCATGTGGAAAACTTTGGGCGATTACCGCGCAGTTGTTGCGGGAAGCCAGGAGGCTGTCGGGCGATGGTCCGGAGGACACGGTTGGTGGTTGGTCAGCCGAACGCGCGGCCACCTCATCGTTCGGCCGGATACGAGCAAGCCCGACTGCGTGGGCCTTGTTTGAGCGGGGGTTCGCCGGTCCACTCGAGCAAACACCCCTTAGCCAGAAGCCGCCAGGGCTCGGGCAGGACCTCCGGGGAGGGTCCCACTTCGCCAAGCAGCGCCGGCGTACCAGCGCCACGACGTCCGGGATGGACGTGGCCGTTTCAGGTGGCCAGCGGTGCAGCCGCCAATCGACCAGCCAGCAGAGCAGCCCATGGGACAGCCGCAAGCCCAGCAGCCCGTGGTGCAGCCGCCCGCCACACAGCCAGAGCTCCAGCTGGCCGCGGTGGAGCGGTGGATCCAGGCCATGGAAGTGACGCCCGGGAATCCGGTCATCCTCCCCGTGGACTGGGTTGTTCGGGCGCGTCTCGTTATCTCAACGACCGCGGTGTCTCTATTGACGTCCGTGAGATCGCGACATCATTGTGTTTCGTCACAATTAATAATTCTAGCAGGGTCATCAAATATATCTGTACAGTTTTGTTCAGTTATAATTTTTTGGACCTCACAAAACCATTCCCTAATTCTTTCTTCGGTGACTGCAGCACGAGCTTTTGATATAATTTCGGTATTTCGTTTGGTTATCTCACTATGTCTTTTCAAGAACAGCTCAAACCATTTAGGACCAGGGTGATTATTTGTAAAGGGATTAGGTCTTTCACATGCGTTTAAAACAAGTTGAACAGAATCCTTTACTTCCTCTGGATGAACCGGAAATCCAACTTTAGCAATGCTAACTATCCAGTTTACTATTCTAGTCTCTTCCTCACAAGTTAAAACGGTTTTTGGCCCTAATTGACGACTTAGAGGTACTTTTTTTTATTTATTTTGTTGCTCAGGGTACTCTTGGGTATATTATACAATTGAAATGCTTTATTTAAAGACAAATCTTTATTATTCACTGCATTTATAGCTACTAACAAATCATATTCAGTGTAATTAAATCTGCAGTACTTTTTTTGTCACTGAATCCATTTTAAAATAGCTTCTATACTATCTGCCTAAAAGTTGAAAAAAAAGAGAGAATAGAAATTTAAAAATGATTTTTTTGTGTTAGTAGGTACCTAATTAAAATTATTAATTACCTATAAATAATTATTCAAAAATTATAAACTTTGAATAGGTGTGTTCATTCATTGGAAAATGCAATCGTAATGATATTCCAATGAATGAACACCCTGTTCAATCACTAGCTACTCATCACATACAATTCTTAGTGCGAACACCCAAAAAAAACGACCAAAAAATAGTTAAATCATTAATTTGAATCCAAATTCAAACTCTACGGATACAATACTACAATATGGTATACTATTTCTTACCTAAAGTATTGAATTAACCGTAAATAATTACGTTTATTTGACAACAAGTTCTGATAATCCTTATAAGAAACGTGGATGTGTGAAAGTGATAAAAATTGGAGGGAAAAAAAGTAATATCATTATTTCCCTTGTTTAATAGCCAAAATCGGTCACACAGTGTTGCCATCTTTGAATATTTTTTTATATATTTTAATTATCAGTTTATATTAAATTAGTGTGTACACTTAGTTATAACAAGTAATTGTACAAGGTGTTCATTCATTGGTGAAGTTACCCTAAATAAATAATTAAATAATTAATTGTTGCAGTTAATATGATATTTAGACGTTTAGGTAGTTATGAGTTACAGAACGAATTTTCCAATAACTTTCAAAATTAGATCTTATGTAGTTGTATGAGTTCCAATATCAAGCAAATGTATTTCATAACTAGACCTTGTAAAAAATACTTTTAAAGAGTATTCAAGTACAGATACTTATTTTGAAAAGTATGTTAAATACATATGTTTAAGTATTTAAAAAGTATTTCAATGTTTTTGCTCAAGTAATTTGTAAGATTATATCATAGCTGATGTGAGTCACAAAGATTGAATTTTGTATTTCGTTTTATAGTTTTTGAAATACTAATACGTTAAGTCGTTTAGAAATCCCAACTTCTTCAATATTGGTCTTATCGTCTTGAAATATTCGAGGTTAAATGCAGTGACACCTCTAGATGAAATTTCTGTTCTCAAAAAACTCGCATCTCGATTTTAAGATGGAGAATTTCGAGAAACAAAATTTCCCGCCAATTTTTTTTTTTGGAAAATTCCAAATTTGAACTCGACTTTTATCCCCTTAATATTTAAGTTTAAAAACTTTTTAACACTGCGATCTGTTCTAGTAACTCTTCCGTTTCGATACTTGAAGGTTTCATGACGATACAACTTATATAGAATGATTTAGGTTTTTAGATATGTTTTTAAAATTCATATTATATCGAAAACCTATAACAAAAAATTCTATAACATCAAACTACAAAAACGACCGTGCCGAAAACCCCCCCAAAGAATGCAAATTTTGAACTTTCGAAGTCCCGAAAGACGGGGAAATACGGCTCCTATGGACTTGACACCTAACGCCGAATTTTATCACCAACCTCCAAACTATATAACCTCGAGTTTCAGAAACTTCGTACAAAAAATAAACCTTTACTGAAATACACCATGTGTGGGGGCAGCGGGGGTGCAAGGACCCCCTGACTCTAGGAGTACGTTTTAGAAGGGGCGGGCCTATACCGAAACGTTTGGTAACTTAAAAGTTAAAAGTATAATATTATCTTATGTGAACGTCATCTACAATTTATAGGTAAATGATTTATTCAACTTTAAAAACTATTACATATGTACATACGTTTGTTCACATTTGGTAATTACGTCAGAAACAGTATTTAGAACATTCTATGCCGCTTGTTTTCCTAGAAGTAGTTACCTATTCATATAATCGTATCGACAATAATTCTATTTAAGAGTATTAGACATGAACAATTTGTTTAAATAATAATTAATGAAGTTTGAATTTCAATTATCAAAATTAATGACAATTGACAATATGTCTCGAAAATGCTTATAATTAAATGTATTTTGGTATAATACTATAATATGATATGTCTTAAAATCTACTAAGGCTGGACTTAAGGTATATTAAATTAGTAAAATACAGATGTATATTTTATTAGGTATGTATTCTATTCAGATTTCAGAACCATTGTGGTGGTCTGTTTGTGGACGAGATTAATCCAACATAGGAGAACGAGAAATGCTGAAATATAGGGGTTTAGCGATAGAGAATTTTATGGAGATTCCATTTAAATGATAGACGTGACGAATTTTTCAGTAACTAAACGGATAGCTTCAAAAAACCATAAAAAATCCCAAAACACCATACAAATATCGCTTTATCAATAATCATAGATTATAAATTATGATAACGGATCATTAATCACTATAACCATGGTTTAGGTTTTATATTATTACCGTTTCAAATGCAAACAATATTGAGGTTATGTTTGTTTCTTAAGTAAATAATATTATTAATATTATTGAATTTATAAAATTAAAAATGTATTAATTACTATTAATTATTTTTTATTCTTTTAAGTAGGTTCTATATAATTAATTAATATGTTCGCTACCTGTCCTTGTGCAGTATACAAATTACAAATCTAAACAGTTCACCTTTCATGTTATTTTCGTAAGTCATACATAGTTTTTACTAACCTGCTTGTGTATTATGTAGTATTTTATTTCAAACTACAGTGTAATTATTTGTAGGTAAAATGTATTCGACAAAGAATTAAAA